TACTTCTGAATAAGGACATCATTTGGATTCTTGTGCATTTATCCCAAGATTTCCCTTTATAGCACATGAATCAGTAATTATCCTACCACTGTCTAAGCCTTCCCTAATCACAAAAATCTTAGAATAATGAGATTTTTCAAGCTAGAAGAAACCTTAGAAATTAAATATTCCATCCTAAGGAGAAAAAAAAAACAGGTCAAGAAAGGTGATGCTTGAACTCCTGCAGCTAGTCAGCAGCTGTGTTAGAGTCTTTCTCCTTCCATCCCACGATCCAGCCTCCTCTATGAAATCCCACTTAATGTGTATTTTTTAAACTGTCAAGTTGGTGTCATAATCTTTGTGGCTTCCAGCTGGCTCTCTCTGAGTTAAGTGGTTTAAAAGAAATGTTCAGCTACTTAAATCATAATTATTTCATCCTCCAGTAAGACAACCAGTAGCTGAAGACATCCTCGCAGCCTCTTCCATTCGAGCTGGGCCCCCATCCATCACCTCATAGCTACTCACAAGGACGTTCCTTAGTCCTACTTCAGATGGTTTGAGAACACAATACCTTTTATTACCTTGTTTTGACTCTTTGAATATCTGTTTTAACCACTTATGTAGAAATCCTGGTCCCTATCCTTGGCATAAGTAGCCTCACATCATCATACCTTCCTTCTCTCATAAACCAAAAAACATTCTCCAGGCTCCTGGGAATTGTGGTTTTATTCACTGACTCTAAAAAGTTTGTTTTCTGGGAATTGGTACAAAGAAAGGACACTGTGTTGGGGTTGTGAAGTGAAGATTGAGGTTTAATGTCCTGGGATATCTTCCAGTAATAATTGAGCCTTTGATTATTATTGTCTTTATTCATTCAATTATTATATACGTTTCAAGTCCCAAGAAAGCTTTCCAGGTTAGCACCCTCTGCTTGGAAATGAGGACTACCAGAGACAGTACAATAAACAACCATGTCAAAAAAAGGGTAAATTGTGTCTAAATTTAAATTAACCAAGATGAAAGACAGTGGTACATCTAAATTGCAAATATATTTTTAATGCCAGAAAAAAAAGTCAGTAACAAATGCTGATGAAATAAATTCACTGAAAAATCCTATGTGAAATAGCTTTCTTTATTCGTATTCAACCAATATTTATTGAGCACCTTTTACCTAGCAGGCACGGAGGCTACAGACTTGACCCTCACCCTCATGGAGCTTACAGTCTGCTGGGAAACACAACCATTACATAAGCAGATATGTTAAATTACAAGGCTTGTGAAGATAGGGAGGTTAGAGGGCAGCACAGAGACACATAGCTGGGGGCCTTTAATGGGAGCGAGGTTCCCTGAGGAGACCATGTTTGATGTGACATCAATCCTTGAGAAATAATATTGTCTGCACAAATAATTGCTTATTTTCGACACAATTGTGGTTTCATTAATGTTATAGAATGCACTTGGGCTTTTGCTCATTATATATACTCACCCAGCGCTGATATCAAAATATCCAGCAACCAGTAACATAGGACGTGAGGCAGTTAGAATAGAAGCTAACCTCTGCTCTGGGGCAGAGAGCTGGAAGCTGCCTAGTGTGCTGTGCATTAACTGCTCAACCGTGGAGAGGTCTAGGCTTCCTGGGGAAGGGACTACAGTGAAGGAGAATGACTGAGGCCTGCAGCCATTTATCAACCACGATTGCCCCCTAGCACATACTGCTTGCTTATCTGTCCTGTGTGTACCAGGCTCCTTCTATTGAGAGAGTCTACATTAGAATTCAAACTTGACAGGAAAAAAAAAATCCCTTATTGTTTCAGATCATCTTATTGCACAAAATCAATCACTAAGAAAAAGCTTAAAATATTTTATACAATAAAATGAAGTTGCCAATTTTACAAAGCACTAGTTTTAAAGTATTGAGAACTAACATTTTTCTATATAGTGCTGAACATAAAGTTTGACATTAAGCTTGCCTGATATATTTTTTGAATAACATTATTTCGAGAATTTCTAAATTTAGGTAGTTTAAGAATATACTGAATTCTGGGGGTATGATTTCATGTGATAAGTTCAAATACCTCTTTCAATGTAAGAAAAAGGAAGACATTTTTAGCAGAAGGTTAAATGTATTACTGAATTCACAAAAAGCCAGCAATGGGCTAATACAAAAAAATTATGCTATTGCTTAAAAGGCAAACACAAATTTATGTCCAGAAGAAAAGAACAATTATATTAACTGAGCTTGGAGGTACCACTGTATTGTCAAGTATAATAAACTATTTAAATGAGGCCTCCATTTTTAATCTGGAAAAATATGATGAGGCTAATTTTCTGGTATAAATCCAAGCTTTGCTAACTCCAAACACATAATGCTTAAGAAATGCAAATCTTGTGCTGTATTTACTACATACTAAACTTTTACAGCCAATTTGAATTAAACACTGTAAATTCATGAATTTACTTTTGTTTTACTCTGATGTAAATATTAATGGACCATCAATCAATTCTAATGGAAGTGTGTTTACTTCTCCCTGGCTCTCTTCATGTGAACATTTCAAATACCTACAAATATTTATAAGATAACCTACTATAACGTCACCAAATGCAATCACTCTAAGAAACAGGGAAAGGGAAAATTGTTTTTCTTTGACTTTAATCTCAAACTGTAACAGAGTTTGTGCTGAAAGGTGACCTCTAAATCTCTTATATCCTCAGAAAAAAAGAATCTTACTTCCTGAAAAAAAGGGCAGTTTTTAAAATCATTGGATAAGAGCATTATCATTTAATTTGCACTTTCAGATTCATTTATGAGCATTGCTCTGGTAAAAGTTAATTATGGCACCAGTATTCCCATCTGAGCTCAGTTATCCAGGATCGAAAACATGTGCAACAAAGGGAACTGCACTTCCGAGTGGCTGTGCCCTTTCTAAAATCCAGGAGGAAAAGTGGCAAGTATTAGGACAAGCCTGGGCCAGGAGTCCCTTCCAGGGCCTTGCAAGAGCTTTTCTGGCAATCTGAATATATTCAGAGAGAATATTTTTTCAGTAAGCCTCCATTTGGCAGGCATATTTTTATCAAATAGATCGTTTAAATTAAACCTGCATGCTACAGAAATAACCCCCACTCTAAGAAATTTGCAAGTCTAGTCTTAGTATATTTGTAGGTTTTTCCTCCCACTTACTAATAGGGAGGCACAATTATGTCTTTTGAAAGTGGCATCTTATATTTGCTAGAAGCCATTGAGGCAGCATTGTGGAGGGACCAGCACAGGCTTTCCGATCTGATAGTCCAAGATAGGGATTTCTATTTAACCTCTCAGAGCTTCCTTACCTGCATATGTCACTGGGGAAACTACACTGCTTTGTAGGTTGTTGGAAGAATTAGGAATAATCTATGACAGCGCTGGGCACATAGTAAATGCTCAGTAAATAGTAGCTCTTGATTTGGTGTTTGTTTGTGGTGGTTTTGCCTGCTCTTCACCAGCAGGATCTCCCCAAACACCAGTGCCGTGGTAACCTAGACCGTTTCTCATGGCCAACACCAGTTCTCGGCCATGGAGGACTCTGCCCTCTAAGGGACATTTGGCACCATCTGGGGGCATATCTGGTTGTCACAACTGAAAAGGGAAGGGAGAAGGTGCTCCTGGCACCTAGTGGGGAGGGTCAAAGAGGCTACTAAACATCCTACAATGCACAGAACAGCCCTTCCTCCCCCAACAAAGTATTATGCAGTCCGGAACGGCAGTAGTGCTGAGGTTAAGAAACCCTGGCCAACACAGTAATCACAATAAATTCTAGAGGCAGAGAAACCATAGCAACAGTCAGAAAATTCATCATAAATTTCAAACTCTCCATAAAGGGAATGAAGGACAATCTTAGAAATAAGCATAAAATCAGTACAGATAACTCTTGAGCAGGTGCCTAGTAGGTGGGTGTGGGTAGGTGTGTTTGTGATTTATTTTGAGTTTGTCTTTTTTTTTTTTAACAGTACACCCACCCTTGCTTCAGATACATGCATGTGTGGTATGCTGAAGTCAGTGTTCCGTACTACCAATCTGGGATAACTGGTAACTTGCCCCATACAAAGGGGGTTTTCAGTAATGCCATGAACCTTCAATCCCGTGAATTAAAAATCTTGATATGGCTGTGTACATATCTAGACACTTAAGATCAATATACTCCATACTTTAGTGTATAAGAAGGTTTAACATGTTTAATGCATAAAAAGGTTTGTTGTATATGCTTCAATGCATACATTTTTAGGAAACAAAAGAAAAGAGAGTCTGTGGTATAAGCCAAACAGGAACTGTGCTAAAGCGAACTTTGTTTTGGAGGCCACGCCATGCGAGCCGACGGTATAACTTTAGAGTGTCTGTGGATCCTTTGTACTTTTGAAGCCCCTGTGGGTGATGAAAGCGACTGAACTGCTACCACAAATCTCACTTATTCGACCGGGTCCTCCCCACTCAACAACTTATTAGTGCACTATGGATTTTAAAGTAAAAACCTCATTTATATTTAAAAAAAATCATTGCTAATTCAGAAAGTCTTGTTTCTTTTGAACCCAAGTTAGTGAAATCATACAACTCTAATAAATTTTGGTGTCTCACTTGAGGAATGGTATTTTCAAACCATTGCAAGAAACAAAAAGCCCAGGGATTATCTGGGGTAGAAATAGGTAAAAAAAATGAGAAAAAAGGGTATAAAGTTTAGTACTAATCGATATTCTACTCCTGTCCCAAATGTCTTGAACAAACATGTATATATGGTTTTTCTGCTCTGGCAGGATGTAAAAAGTGTCAGAAAATATACTTAACTTATAATAAGGTAATAACTTGGTTCACTTTATACTACCGTATTTTTCAAACTATAAGATGCACCTTTCCCCCCACCCCCCCCCACCCCTGGCCAAGTTTGGGAGGAATTATGGTTGTTAATGCTGCTGTTGAGTTCTGTTTACATTTACATTGGTGAAATATTATGTTATTTATGTTATTAAATATTTTACCACATTTTTTGCTTCAATTTTTTTTCCCTATTTCCCTCCTCTAAAACCTAGGTGCATCTTAGAGTCTGAAAAGTACAGTATTTAATTAATTTATTTGAAATAGTTATTTGAAAATTATTCATAGGGGTAAATGTCTAATCTGGCAAATAAAAATGAAAAAGATTATTTGAACGATTGAGAACCTTAATTTTCTGCTTAATATGTTTTTAAAAAGTGAAAAGGATTGGCACTACGGAAACACTGTGTAACCACCCCAGGAAAGAAACTCTGGCCCTCAGACCACCACATACCAACTGGCAGTAAAGAAACACTCACTTACTCTTTGAGATAATATATTTGGGGGGGAAGAATCGACAGCATAGGCAAATCTGTGGTTGAGAAATCAGGTTTGAAGTCAGAAGAGGCAGCAATAGGGACTCAAATTCTCCTATGTGCTTAGTTCATAGGCGCAGAAGGGGACTTAAGGCTCCCAGGAAAAGGACGCCGAGGCGCAGCTCTTGATAGTCTACTCCTAAGCTCAGTGAGAGAACTTGGTGCACCTCAGTTCCCAGATACTAGGATCCGTGGGTTTTATAAAACCCTGGCATGGCCTCAGCAAAGGCTGAGGAGGAGTGACTGAAATCTACAAGGTGGGCAGAATGTTATCACCAGGTGAACAAGGTGAACATGAAAGAGGTGAGTTCAAGTCAAATGGAAGATCCTACTTTAAACAGTGGTCTGCAAACTTAAGAATCTCATCAACCCCATAAAAAAGGAAAATTTGTGTAATTTCCTTTTTATGTTGGTGAATTCATGGATTATTGATACATAATGAATTTTAGAGAAAACTGAGGTAAGCGGAGGATCATCTTCCAAATCGAAGCGAAGGAAGACGGGCATCCCCACTCTGTCGGAGGCACACAGCACAGAGCCCGGGTATGGGCGGATGAGGGCTGACTCCGTGTCCACCCTCGCCTTAACGCATTAATGCACCCTGGCCACGTGGCGGGCACCCGGCTGTCCGCACCACAGAGGCAATGACCATGTCTGCCTCAAGCAGGCAACAGCCTAGTGGGAGACTGTACACGTAAAACAGTAGCTAGAATCATGGACGTACTCCATTCTGTAAATATTTCCTCGAGTTCTTGATGAGGTCCTGCAGCCTATTTCCACCTTGTATTCACCCAACTGAGAGTGTAACAGCTACTTGCATTGAAAATGTCTTTCTTCAGGAATAGCTGAGGTTTAGATAAATCTTTGTAACTGTGAAAAAGCCTGAAATCCTTTAGTTCCAGCTCTTTGAGGAGGCTGTACCAGAACCGCACTACACTGCTGTCACTGCCACTGACCTCAAACCCGGGCCAGTGGAGATGGATCTCGAAGATGAGCTGTCCGATTTGCTCAAGGACATCTTCCAAAATAAGATTTTCCAAAACTTTCCATTCTGCACTTTCCAGATCTGCTTTGAGAACATCAATCTGTGAAAAAGTGATAGAATGAGATTAGCAGATTCAATAAACATTGTTTAAAATGCCATCTTGGTATCAGAAGCATTACTGTTTGACTACCATTCTAGAAAGCAGAATTTTTCTTTTCTTTTCTTTTCTCTTTCTTTTTTTTTAGTTATTGATTGTTTTAGAAAAAGAGAAAGAAACATTGATTTGTTGTTCCACTTATTTGGGCATTCATTGATTGATTGTAGCATGTGCCCTGATAGATCAAACCCACAACCTCGGCATATGGGGACAACCCTCTAGCTAACTGACCTACCTGGGCAGGGCCAGCAGAATTTTTAGAATTTTAGATTTAGAAGTCTTTTTCAAATGGCCATTTATGAATATCTAACCTCACTCCACACTGAATATTGATACACAAATGATGAAATGCCAGTCAGTCAGAGTGGACCCTCTTTCTTTCTGCCCAGTGGGAATGGATGCCTAAGAAGGAGATGCTGGAGCGTATCATGAAGCTCCATGTCCACAGCCTCCCCCAGAAAACTGCATGCTGCACAGGGGAACTCATGTGTGCCCAGACAGAATGGTGGCCTGCAGGGGGGACTGACAGGACCACTGCCTACAGGGACCACCTCACTAATCATGCCCCCTCCCACTTCACCAGGACTGGAAGCCAGGGAAAGAGTTCTCCGGTATCTGAATATTGGACTTGAAAAAAATTATTATTTCATGATTTCTTTTAAAAAAGTATATACAAGTATAACATTCTAAAAAGAAAAAGACAAAAATACCATTCTCTGTTCATCTAATGAATATAAGTTCACATTCCGGGTGAGACAGAATATAGAAAAAAGAGTAGGATGGGAAAGATTTTAATTAAATTATGAGAATAAGCTCCTTTTTGCTGGCTTTGTATAAAATCTATTAGAACAACAGAACTCCATATACCCCCAGAAAGCAATGAAAGCTAATCACTCACCAAGAGCCTATATGTACCTGGCATTATGCTAAGCATTTCATCTTGCAATATCCATTTAGTCCTCTTAACTGTTCTGCAAGAGTGATTCTCTTAGCATCCCTCTTCAGAGTTTAGGAAATCAGACTCACGGTGCCCCATCCCACCACACTGCTGGAGAGGCAGCGGCGAAATGTGAACCGAATCTGTGTACGGGGCCTAGATTCTCAACCACTACATGATGTTGAGTCCCCATAAACCACAAAAGGAAAAACAGTAACTCAGAGTCCCTAAAAGGCTGTTGGTTTGGAAAATAAGGTGCTATTGCAGAGAGAATGGGGGTCAGTGAGCAGAAGTATTGTTATCGACATTACCATTTTACATCTTCAGAGCACTTCCCAGCTTAAAGCATTATAATCTCAGTGAAACAGCCCTATCCGTAGACAAGGATTTGGTAAAGACGACTTTCTGTTGCCAAGGAATGGAGGGACAGTGGGAGTGGATAAGTAGACCACACTGAGGAAGGTGACAGCATTCAGACCAAACTGGAATAATGAGGATGGAGGGAATCGCTGCGATAGAGCAGAGGCCAGAGTCCCAAGAGGTGACAGCACACACAACCCTAATCAGCTCCTCAGGAAGCAGCGGACCAAAGTCTCTGATGCTCTGTCCATGCAAGTAAAACATCTTTGTGCAGCAGGATGGATAAGGAATCAGACCAACTCCGTCCCAGCCTCTCCTCTCCCAGCACATCTCTGATAAGTTTCTCAGATACAGCTGAGTCACGAGGCCCTCAGAGCAGTGATAACATTTCTTGTAGGATTTCAGAGTGGGATGGAGAAGCAGCATTGAGTTTAGACATAATTGCTCCAAGAAAATGGTCTCTGCCCAGCATCCTGAGATCCTGTGGGACATGCTTTCATTCTCTTGTGTTGGATAGCACCTGCTGGTCCATCAGGAATAGAGTGATAACAATGCCAATATTAAAAGAGGCTTAGGAAAGGCTAGATCTCTATAAACCAGCTGGTTGATTCAATGGCTCCAAAATCAAAGAGAAAAGTGTAAAACAAACACAAAACAACTTTCTTTTCTGAAAGGAACAGAGAAAAGGCAGATTCCATGTGAACATACACAAGATTAAAATAATTCTTGTCAATTGGACACAATAGAATTAATTCACCCTTTTTTTCATCTCTGCAGTCCTGACACTTGCTTGGCTTTGTTTAACTTTTGAAATCTTAAGCAAATATTCCTGAGTTAGGATAATTAAGCTGCCAAAAAAGATAATCAAAACTTCACACCATTTTTCTAATTGGTATAGAAACTATCCAAAACCCAAAATCAACATTTGTGGGGACGGTTCACATTGCCAAGAATTTCTTAGGTTCCTTATAGATTTATTTTTTACTGTGGTTTTCTGTGAGTTTGCATAGTTGAATGATCAATAAAGTATTAAAAGGACAGGTTAAAGTTAATCAGCCTAAAATTGTCCTAAAAACTATAACTATGAGGTGTAGAAGAATATACTTAACATATTTTTCCAAACATTTGTTTTAAATAAGCTGTTAATCAGAAGTTATGAGCAACTGGAAAATTACCAAGTTATTAGGCTAAATCATAGCAAATGTATGCTTCCTTTGGAAATCCAATTTTCATTCACAAAATGCTAACCCATTCTAAAGAGCAAAAAGTATAGTCAAACATGACAACATCCCCACCCCCTTTTGACTTCAGTGACTGAAAATTCTCCCCATCAGCCAGAGCTGCACGGGCTGCTCCAATGCATGCAGCCCTGGTGTGGTGTGGCGCTGAGAGAAGTGCAGGCAGCCAAAGTGCTGGGGATGAGGCATGGTTTTCTCTTACAGTGTGTTTTTTCTGTTTTTTGCATTCCAGAATATTCTATTACTGCTATTTTGCAAATATAATTTCCATTATTACTGCATTATGCACCCAATATTATTGTTATTATAGGCACTAAACATCTCTGAATAAGATATGCCAGTTTTAATATTCTAATAACAACTTTCAACAATTACGGCACTAAAAATCATGCAAATGACTATATTGGAATAGTCAAGTGCCAGTCCTAATACAGTTAGGTTAAATCGAGCTTATTGAAAAAAAGGAAACAACTGAGTGTTAACTCTCTGTAATCTCTGAAATGAAGACCTTCTTGGGTAGAAGGGTCTCAAAGAAGTTAAATGAAATGGCTTTTGAGTGTCATTTCAGAGGCATTAGAAGGGTCCTCTTATCAAAAATTATCTCCTTTTCTTTATGCCTGAAATACACATAAATCACCTTTCACAGACTTTTGAGGGAAAGGGAAATTTAACTTTAACTGGATTAAGTTGCGAGGCCATCTGGCAGCTTCCTCACTACAGGCACAAGTTTACCCCTGTGTTCATCCACCTGCAAGCAAGAGCTGAGAGGAAAGAGGGGTATAGAGAAGGGGCACCAATGCTTGTATTAGTTTGCTAGGGCTGCTGTGTAACAAAGTGTCCCAAACCGTGTGGCTGCAACAACAAAAATGTGTTGCCTAGGCTCTGGAGACTAGACGTCTGGAACCAAGGTGTGGGCTCCCCTGGGGACTGTGAGGGAGGGTCTGCTTCACGCCGCCTCCCAGTTCCTGGTGGTTTGCTGGCAAGCTTTGACATCCCCTGGCTTCTGCATGACTCTGATCTCCGTCTTCATGTCCACACTGTTACCCCGGTGTGTCCGTGTCCAAATGTACCCTCTTTATAAGGATACCAGTTATATTGGATTAAGGGTCCACTTTACATTAGTATGACATCATTAAACTAATTACACCTGCAATGACCCTCCAGTTAAGGTCACCTTCTGAGGTACTAGGACTTCAACACAGGGGTTTGGGGGATGCACAAGGCAGCCCACAACAGTGTTTGAGGTGGCTATCACTATAGAGCTTTGGCAAGACAGTATGAGTTTGGGAGCCAATTCCCCAGGCCAGTGCCTAGGGAAAGTGTGCTGGGCCAGGGAGCCGAGGGCCAGCAACCATTGGAGACAGTTATTGGCAACTTCCTGCCAGTTCCTACACCAGCCAACACTGACAGCTCCAACTTTGCTAAGTGTCAAACCCAGAGCAGGTCAGCAAGCCTCCAAGGCCAATTAAAGCAGCCATCACAAAACCCCTGTGCTACATACCCTGGTTCCATCTAGGTCACACAGCCAGGCCCAGCAGGTGCCGCTTGTCTTTGGCACTTTCCCATTCCTAGCTGCACCCCTCTTCCTCCTTCTGGAAATTCTTCAGGCACTCAGCATCCTCGTGCCCACAGCTCCCCATCTGAGCCTGTTCTCCTTCAAGGGGGCTGTCATGCAGGATAGGAGACTTTGTTACATGCCGGCTGGCTCTCAGGAGGGTAAAAATGGAAGCTGCAGCACCTGTAAAGGACTAGGTTAGGACTCACCAGCATCACTTCCACGGCATTCTATTGGTCAAAGCAAATCACAGGGCCAGTCCAGATTCAAGGGGAGGTGGAATAGATCCCAGCCCTTGAGGGTAGCAATGGCGAACACAGAAAAGATGAGATGAATTGTTCATAGCCATGTGTGCAGTTCATTGACCCCAGGGTTAAAAGCAATGTTACTTTACATACACATCCATGAATTAGAATGAACTGAAGTTATTACAGTAGACTTGAACCTTTACTGGACATAGGCAATAGTCCAGGAAAAATAAATTATAAAGCCTTTATTCATCAGAATATTCTTTAGAAAGGGAAATTAATTAAAACATGGCATTTACTATTAGATCTGGCTTTCCTTGAAAGTTGACAAAGAACTTAGATATCCAATGGATTAAGGATGACTAATAAAAAATACTGAAAAGGACAAGTAAATATGTGTGAGCCTTAGATAGTGTATTAATCTATTAGAGATGCTATAACAAAATGCCACAGATGGGTGACTTAAACAACGGAAATTTAGTTTCTCAGAGTTTGGGAGGCTAAACGTCCTAGATCAAGGTGTCAGTAGGCCTGGTTTCTCCTGAGGCCTCTCTCTCCAGCTCACTGACGGCTGCTTCCTCCCTGTGTCCTCACGTGACCTATCT